CTGCTGAGCGGCTGGAGCCGTGGTCGCGGGGCGCAGCTGGCAGCCACCAGGCATGAGGCTCCCCTGCCCGTTTCCTTCTGTGAAACTGTTTGCAGGCTGTTGTGCGCTTTGGATTTCTCTGGCTGCTTCCTCGCGATTCCATCCGGGTGAAACGTTGGGTGCGTGTCGTGCCCCCCGTGTTTTCCATTAGGAGGCTCCTACCTGTCTGTCTCCTTATTGAGGATGTGAAATGTGATCATTTTAAGTCAAAGCCCCAGGCGCTCTCGAATCCCCTCGTCACACGCGTTCTCTATTGTCACCAAAACTGTTATCAAGATCACCAATCACCTCCGCGTTGCCAAATCTAACGGTCAGCGCTCATACCTCGTTTTCAAATGCAGAGGCGTTTTCTTGTGATGTCTACATGCTGTCCATTCTCAATTTCGTCTTTTTCCATCAGTTGTTACTACTGTCAAAACTCTTAACTTCTGGCAACCCCCGCCCCAAAATAAACTAATTTACCTCACATTTAGAGCACGGGAATTAAAAGAGCAAGGCCCTTGATACAGCCTATCCGGGCACATCTTCCATCTCAATTTACTGTGATCTTGTCAAGTTTCTCGCCTATAAAACGGGGTATATGATGGTGCCCATCTTACAAGGTTAAGAATTAAATTTCAGTCCAAGCACCTTTATACCTTTACATTCTGGACATCCAGCAGCCCTAAATTTGCATATTTGAATTTCCTGTTTGTAGGCTGTCAAGAATTGGGTATTGGTCAAGTGCTCACCCAATTCTATTAGCAAAGTGAGATTCTCCCAATTTGCTTAAAAGAACCCAACTTGCCCTAGCTGGTTTGGCTCAGTGGATAGAGCGTCAGCCAGAGGACTGAAGGGTCCCAGGTTCGATTCCGGCCAAGGGCACATGCCTGGGTTGCGGGCTTGATCCCCAGGAGGGAGCATGCAAGAGGCAATCAATGATTGATTCTCATCATTGATGTTTCTCTCTCTCTCTCCCCCTCTCCCAAATCAATATATTAAAAAAAAAAAATTTGAGAATGTTCCCAAATTCCTTCCTAAATGTCCTTCCAGCTACAGTAATTCCCCTGGTTTCGCCCTAGACCTAACCTAACATTACCTTGCCTTGGCCCCGGCTGGGGAACTCAGTTGCTTAGAGCGTCAGCCCATACACCGGGCGCATACAAGCTGTAACCAATGAATGCATAAATAAGTGGAACAACAAATTTGATGTTTCTCTTCCCTAAAACCAATAAAAACTATCTTGCCACGTAATTTCATAGGGTTTTTTCATTTGCATAAAGTTACTTTAGTATTCAAACGCCATTTACCTTGTTGAAGATGCTAAAAACTAACCATAACCAAGTGTGTAAATGTAGCCAGTTCCCACTCATCACTTTGGACCCAACACAAATTCACTGAACTTGTCCTGGGCTGGAAGGAGTGGCTCGCATCACAGGTCAGATGTTAACAGACCATGGCATAGGGAGACAAGCTCAGGACACTGACCCATGTTGATACAGTGCCATGTTCACCTGCTCTGCCAGTGTTTTGGTCTTTTTGTCATTGGATGATACCTAGACAGTGAGCACCTAGGACTATTTGTAAGGAACTGGTCTACACGCTTTCAGCAGGTAACTTTTCTTATCCTATTGGAGACAAACACTTCCCTGTTTTCACGAATCGGACTCCTGTGTCCCTCTGCACTGCAGAGAACTGAACAGGGGACAACTTTTAGTTTACATTGCAATGAGTAAACTAGATCAGTGGTTCTCAACCTTTCTCATGCCGCGCCCCTTTAATACAGTTCCCCATGTTGTGGTGGGGAACTGTATTAAAGTTCAGTATTTGATGGTTTGACCCCCAACCATCAAATTATTTTCGTTGCTACGTCGTAACTGTAATTTTGCTAGTTATTAATTGTAATGTAAATATCTGATATGCAGGATGTATTTTGTTACAAATTGAACATAACTCAAGCATAGTGATTAATCACAAAAACAGTATGTAATTATGTGAAAGGGTTGTTCCACCCCCAAGGGGTCACGACCCACAGGTTGAGAACCACTGAACTAGATGCTCTTGCCAATACCTCACTAGTGCCTGTCTGCGGGAGCAGATGCAAAGGGTCACATTAAGATCCCTAAGTGGTAGGCTCTAAAAAAATACAAATTAAGTAATTTTGTAACAACCAATATAAAAGTTAAGTTATAGCTAAAAGTTTACAACCAGTAAGAACATAAGCTCAGTGTTACACTTTGACATGGGCCTGTTCTTAGTTCACTGATGTCTAATATTTCACTTTCCTTCCAGGAGCTTAAATTCCTCGAACAGTTAGCCCTGGCTGGTGCGGCTCACGCACTGAAAGGCTGCCAGTCAGGGACATCCCTGGGTTGGGATTAACTGCCCAATGGCAGGTATGCAGGAAGCAGCCAATAGATTCTCTCTTCCTTCCTCTTTAAAAATCAATACAAGCCGAAACCGGTTGGGCTCAGTGGACAGAGCGTCGGCCTGCGGACTGAAAGGTCCCAGGTTCGATTCCGGTCAAGGGCATGTACCTTGGTTGCGGGCACATGCCCAGTGGGAGATGTGCAGGAGGCAGCTGATCGATGTTTCTGACTCTCTCTCTCTCTCTCCCTTCCTCTCTGTAAAAAATCAGTAAAATATATAAAAAAAAGAAAGAAAGAAAAATCAACACAAATTAAAAACACACTCAAGTGTTACAACTAATGGTCACTATTAGGGAGGTGTTATAGGTCTTAAAAGGTTCGTTACCATCATTCCATGGCTGAAACGTCCTAAGAATTAATGGTGCTTAATAACTTCAGGGTTAATACACAGCATCTTAATTTTTGGACTGGACTTACTGTGTTTATAAATGTATTTTCACTACTTACAGACTTCCACTATTTTCCATGTAATATTGTTAGCTGACTAGGTTTGAAAGTTATTAGGTTTAGAAAACATATCCAAAGAGTTAAGATCTGGTTTTGGCAAAAAGATTCACTATACAAGGATTATACTTTCCCTCTCAACATTTGTTTCAGATATAAGGTAACAAAACACTTGATACTGAAATTATTTTGAATATGAACATTTCAAGTGAATTATAAGGGTAAGGTTGGTAATAAAGACCAAAAGCAAGTATAGTTTAATGTATTTTAATAGCAAACTTACAGGAACAGCACAGAAGACAGACAACATTAAAAACATGTACTTGCATGTAGGACAACTAAGTTAGAAAAGTATAGTGAATGGATGGAATCTACTGTATGATAAAAATGCTACAAACACCATTTAGTTGCCATCAATAAGAAATTTACTTGTTTTAAAAAAATCCATAACAGGAAGAAGAGAAAAATTTTTAAAAGAATGAAATGTTTCCATCATAGTGGATTCTCAAGCACGTTCTCCGCGTATGCGGCGCGCTAGCTGGATGTCTTTTGGCATAATCGTCACACGTTTGGCGTGGATCGCACACAGGTTGGTGTCTTCAAACAGGCCAACCAGGTAGGCCTCACTTGCCTCCTGCAACAGGAAGAAAAATATATTAACGGCATTCCCACCTGTAAAAAAGTTACGATGATGGGGTTACTGAACCCTTTAAAAAGTACTTCAGAAACGTTAACTATTTTATCAGATGCTTACATTTAAAAACCTAGGGGATAAAGCTAAAAGGCAGCTCGTAAGTGGAATCTCAGAACCAATCCAAATACTCCTTCCCCGCTCAGCGTCTCACTCTGAACCCCACTCACACTCCCAGAGAGGTTTGCCCTTTGGCCCAATAATGCAGTACAGCCGACAAATGGTGTTCATCTTACGGTCCTCCCTAGCCTACCCTCCTTTTACACCTCAGATTGCATCACAAGAGTACCGCAGGCTCCAGAACACGCACGCTGCCCTGTTTTGCCTAGCAGATGTGCACCCCGCCCCTATCAAGCACACCTCCCTCCATACACCCCAGTATACAGTGGCACTAATACTGGTCCCTTAGGCTTTCCTAGCACACTGGAAGTCTTTGAACGCATCTTCTGACCCCTACTATCACTGCTAGGTGTGGGAATCGCTCACTGACACTTGGTACACCAAGAGGGAAAGGGGAGCTTCTACTGTAACTCAACTCGAAATGTCAGTGCATCTTACAGCTGTCTGAAAAGGTGGCTCAGTGGATAGAGCGTCAGTCTGCAGACTGAAGGGTTCCGGGTTTGATTCCAGGCAAGGGCACCTGCCCAGGTGGTAGGCTTAATCCCCAGTAGGGGGATGTACAGGAGGCAGCGGATCAGTGATTCTCTCTCCTCACTGATGTTTCTGTTTCTCTCTCCCTCTCCCTTCCTCTCTGAAATCAATAAAAAACATATTTAAAACAAAACAAACCCAGAAATACTTGAGCAGTTCAAGCCCCATATTACATAATACATAAGACACACAGATGGGAAGTCAGGTTTGCCTTTTACAAACGTTTTGACTATGCAATAAAACCACAAAGATTCTGCTTTTAAAAGGATTAACACGGCAACGCTAATTCAAATGGTTCATATTATTTCATCTTATGAAAAATATTTCTTCACCTTTGTACCCTTCATCTAATCTCTCCTATAAAAACTTGTTTCACCCGAATCTCCCTATCCCTACCTGTCGTTCTGCAGCATTTGTTACCATAAGCCGGGTCTTACTGGCCTACTCTGTAAGGCGACCTTAAGACCGTCACATGAAGGAGAATGCACGCACTCCTCTTGCCCTGGCTTCCAGGTGCAGGTAACCTTGAAGCGCCTCCATCCTTGGCACCCCGTGAGCCGTATACCAGCCAACTTTTAAGGCCTTCAGTTACTTAATAGAGATTTCATTTTATACTCCTAATGCCTTGCTCTTAAGTAGATGTTTAATAAATATCTGCTGGTTGCGTTTTTATATTTAACCCTAACTTAAATTTGCATCTTTCCTATACAATGGGTCCCTCATATCAAACTCATCCCAAAGAATATATTAACAGCAAAATTCTTTAATATTCAGGGATTCATTCTTGAGATATTCTAGAAATGGTTAAAAAAGTTTGGAAAATACAGCATACTGTAGCCTACTCTGGGGAGATTTGAAGTTTAATGTTGTTTTACACACCTTATCTCAGCATTATGCATATCTAGAATGCTTTTGCAAGAAGAAAAGAAAAGAAAAAGCAGTAGTATGAGCTGATGCATGGCAAATAGGTCCTGTGATCGGAGACCATTTACGTAACACTGCCCTGTACTCCTCAGATGCGCCATATGGCAGCCAGGGCTCTCAGTCCTGTCTTAGAACCTGGTTATCAGTTTTACAGGATTGGGCCTGGTCAACTCTAGAAGATTCAATATTCAGAGGGGATTCGACTATAACCCATATATTTCCAATTTTATAAACAATGTCGCAGTCTCCTAAACATTAAGGCTGTGGTAAGAATGAGACTATCATGTTAATTTGTAGCCCAATGAACGCAATTTTGAGATAATAACAAAAACACCTTACAACCTGAAGGAAACAATGTCTGACACTTCCACCGTTCAACAAACCTGTGTCCGTTTTTAACATAAAAACACCTTAGTTCAAACTCGCAAATATTAAAGGCTAAGGCTAAGTTTTAAGTTAGTCAATTCTTGATTGTATCTATGGCAAACCTAGACTAACTTTTCTACCACCCTTACTAAACTACCCTCCCCCCCTCATTTAGTTGTATTAGAAAAGTTGTAAATTATGTTAGAAACCTTTGTAATTCATTGCTTTCTTTTATTACTCTACTTTTATTAGCCAATTCCCCATCTCTGTATCTTTGAGAACTGAAGTGCATATATAAAATAAGAAAACACAAAAAACTTAACTGAAGTGCATATATAAAATAAAACAAAAAACTTGTAATAAAGATTACTCTTTCAATAAAAATAAGAATGATCTAATACTAGAATATTATGGGCAGCAGAGGTGAACGTTTGCTCAAAACCAATACAACTATACTAACAGCAACAATAAAAGTTTACACATGAACTTTCAAAAGACAATAGTCTTTTTATCCAGATTGTTTAGTAATTTCACTTTACAAGGCTGTACACTGACATTTAAACTCAGTAACAATGGAAGTTTACACATGGAATTTAAAGACAATAATCGCTTACTCGACTGTTAAGCAATCTCAAACTGTAAGGCTCTGTATCACTGACAAACTCAAAATGTTGGATTTTCAAGTATAATTTATATTCTCAAAAAGCATAGTCCTGTTAACTCTAACTAGAAAACAAAATTAGCAGCTTTGAACCGATGCTAAGATTCTTAGTAATATTTCTGTGCTAAGATAGTGGGGAAATTGTGGTTTGCAATGGCAATAATAAATGAAACGGGACCTGAAGACGATCTGTGATGAAACCAGAAAATAAAGTTTTAAGTAACAACACTGGAAGGTTTTAGTAGTTTGAAATTTCAATTCATTCACAATTTAATGGCTGCCTACACCTGGAATTCACCAAATGAGCCTGGAATTCACCAATCGAATGAAGTTCAGACTAACCATAGAAACAGCTCAACCAATTACATTTCAGTATAGAATCCACCTATCAAATCCTTCTCACTTATAAAGCAAAAGCTGGGCACAGCAACAGCAGCCTGGAAAATCACCCAATGGAGGGCACGCAGAGGCTAGGCCCTCCCCAAAGAGCCTGTCACTCACATCTGCGGTGGTGCCCAGCAACCTGCATTTTTAATCACCTCCAGCCCCAGGCCCTAATGGAAGAGGTGGCTTTATGGTGTTCTGAGACACACCGATCTAAAGAATACCAAACACACAATAGAAAACAGGGTTCGTTAAGCGACGTTAACTATTCCCATGTACATAATCAAATTATCTCACTTGTGGGCATTTCAAGTTTAATCTCGGTATAAACCACAAATATTTCAAACACATAACCACCCCTAAAATAGCATTTCTCAAAGTTCTGACACCTTGGACCCAAGATTAAATTTCACAGGCTTCCCGTTTAAGGTGAAATCCCTAACCCCCTTCAGCAAAGGACAAGTCTTCCAATCCTTGTTCCTTGACAAGCTGGCGTCTTTAAGCGCTGTTTCTCCCCACTGACAACCCTAACCCACCGCACAGTTCTGCTACCCAGTGCCATCCTAGCCAGCATGCTCTCTCCACCTGCACCTGCCTCTTCAGTGCCAGCAAGACATTTATTCTAACATTCCTTTTCCATCAGCACCTTGAAACTACCTACCAGTACAGACCACGTCTTACTGTCCGACAGCATCCGTAAGCCAAACCCGACGGTGCCTTCCCCCTTAAACGTTGCTTTTAGTGCAATGTTAAACATTTTTAATGGTATAATGGAATGCACACTAGGCTTTGGAGTCAAATGGGTTCAAATTACATTTTGTGTGTATGACCTAGAGCAACTTAACCTTCCTGACCCCTCAGCAATGAACAAAGGCTTGTGATGATTTAATAATCGTTTGTTCGTGGTACCCAGCAGCCCCAGCTCTTGGAGCCTTTCCTGCCGCCCTTTTACCTGCAAAGCACCAATGGCCGCGCTCTGGAAGCGCAGGTCTGTTTTGAAGTCCTGAGCAATTTCTCGCACCAGACGCTGGAAGGGAAGCTTGCGAATGAGCAGCTCAGTGGACTTCTGATAACGTCTAATTTCACGAAGTGCCACGGTACCAGGCCTTAAGGGAAAAAAAATATTTTTTAACTTAAAAGAAATGGTTACCAAATACATAAAAAACATAAAATAGTAAGTAGCCTTAAAGAAATGCAGTCTTTCCTTTCCAAAAAACCAAACCACCCAATTTTCTTCAACTTCTGTATTACATTTCACTTATCAATTTATAACCCGAATATTCAAAAGTCTGTTAAGAGTAACAGAATATCTTTAAAGCAAAAGGCATATTAGAATCCTGGCAGGGAGTTCATCAAAACGCCAGGTATTTTATTCATCTTTAACATACACATCACTAACTGTTACAGTGACAGCTTAGGAGGGTAGTAGGGCCACTAATAAAGAAGCCAGAATTGTCCAGACTCTTCAGATTCTACTCCATCTGGCAGCTCCCCTTCCCACCTGCACCCTCTATTCCTCTATCAGACCCAAAAGCTTCATTCCCCAAGACCCTTGTGGCATGACTTTGATTTCCAAGAATACCTACACTTTGCCACTGTCCCTCCCCAAAAATTCTTGATCGTGCAGCTATCTGTGGGAGGTGTTTTGTTTTTCTGAAAATAAGTATCTCTCATAGGAAACCACCGCAGTTCTGACTTACTCCTTCCACTGCATGAGCTTTTATTTTTTGCAGAGGCCACCTCAGTACAGGCACCTTCTGCCCTCTAACGGCAGATGCCTTTCACAACACTGCTCAGGGGAGCTCAAAACCAAAGGCCTTAATAGGAGAAATTAGCAAATTCAAGTAAATGAGGGATGAGAAACCAACTAAACAACGACGCTGATCTTGATTAAATTATTATTTTTGCCAAAAGCAAGGTATTCTCAAGATGTATCTTTAATTACCATCTTACTATTTTAAAAATATGCATTACTAACAGCTAAATAAGTCGTTAGCCCATTTAACTTTAATAGTGATGTAATAGGTCTCCTTTGGGTTATGGGTACGATTGTGGCTTAAAAATTAAACACGGTCCCCATAAAACCTAACGCTGAATTTTATGCAAATTTTCAAGTATTAGCAAATATTTTTTAAAAAGAAGAAAAACGGTTTCTCTAAAGCAAAAGTTTGATGCCTTTTTTTTTAACCTGCACTGTAAGCACTTTGGATTATGCCTCTTTCTATTAGATTATGTGGATACAGCGCTTCGGGACTGTCCTATTTCTTTTTTCTTTTTTGACGCGGCAAAATAATGTGTGTAGCTGTGCCTCCCCCCCTCCCCTCCCGTATGAGTCGATGGCCTCCCGCGCGGCCATGCTGCCTGGTCCCCTTTCTCCCGTACCTGTAGCGATGCGGCTTCTTCACCCCTCCGGTGGAGGGCGCACTCTTCCGAGCCGAGCTGGTCGCCAGCTGCTTCCGAGGCGCTTTGCCCCCGGTCGACTTGCGGGCGGTCTGCTTGGTACGAGCCATGGCGCAGGGACCTCGTCACTTACCCGCCTTCTCCTTCAGCTGGAGCTCGGCGAGCTGGAGGCGGCGCAGGCGTTGGAGAGCGACGGCGGCGGCGGCGAACACTCCTCTTCCTTTCTTTACATCTTGTCTTCTCCCTAATTTCTCCCTCTTCCCTTTTCTCTTTCCC